AAAGGTTTCTCAGAGCAAGAATTCCTTTCCTGCTCCCTCTGTCATTTGGCTGATCAGGTATGGTTGGGTTGCCAGCTTTCAGGAAATCCCCTGAAATTGCAACTGAACAGCAGATCAGTTCACTGGGGGGGGTGTGTGTGTGGCTGCTTGGGAAGGTGGATTGTATGGCACTATACTCCATTGAAGTCAGTCCCCCAGCCCTGCCCTCTTCAGGCCCCACCCCCCAAATCTCTAGATATCTCCCAACCCAGAGCTGGGAACTGTTGGTGTGAGACAAGGCATCAGACCAGGGTTCACCACTTCTGCCCAGGTTCCACATGGAAGCATCTCCCAAAGAGGTAGCACAAGTGATGTGAAGATGTCCCATGCTCCACTTGAAACTACTCACATTTCTACTAACGTCTCTACAGGACACTCAAAGACTCTCCCAAATGTGTGCCTTGCAGATAACACGCACATTTATTTATTATTTTACATAAAACAAAGAAGTCACAAGAGACAGTCTGGGGTAGTGGTTGGGAGCACGGACTCTAATCTGGGAGAACCAGGTTTGATTCCCCCACTCCTCCACAGGCAGCTGCTGGTGTGACCTCGGGTCAGTCACAAGTTCTCTCCGAGCTGTTCTCTCATGACCAGTTCTCAAGAGAGCTCTCTCAGCCCCACCCATCTCACAGGCAATGCTTGTCTAAGCTGTGGTATCTTGTGAGCAAAAATTCTACTCTGTGAGCTACTGGCATTAAAGTTGTGAGCAAGCGATTTGGATACTGCATAAATTTGTCTGCTCTGGAGCCCTCCTTCCTGAGCTAAGACAAAAATCTCTGAGCCGGAGGCTAAGAAACTGAGCTAGCTCACACTCATCTTAGAGGGAACACTGCTCACAGGGTATCTGTTGTAGGGAGGGGAAGGGAAAGGAGACTGAGAGATTGTAAACTGTTCTGAGACACCTTTGGGTAGTGAAGGGTGGGGCATAAACCCACTCTCCTCTTCTTCCTTCCTGTAAACCCACCCCTCCCCAAACCAAGAACATTACCTCTCTGAAGCAGGCCCTGACTGGGTCCTATATTCCTGCAAATTATGGTCCTCACTCACTTCCAACATGGTTTTCCACTAGAGCTAGGCTTGCCAAGTCCCCCCGGGAGGCAGGGAAACCCCCGCCCCAGAGGCCTGTTCCCCGCCAGTGGTGGATCGGGCCCCGGGGGGAGCCCTACCCCGACGTGCACGTCACCCGGAAGTGATGCGCCCACGCCGGGTACGCTGGTGCCAAGACCCCCGGGTCATCCAAGGGAAAACTCTATGGTTTTCCCTCGGATGGTCATGGCCCCGCCCCAGCGTGCCCGGCATCGCCACGTCACTTCCGGGTGACGTGCGTGCGCTTTGCGTGCGCATGCACGCTTCAGACACCAGCCGGGAGTCCCCTGCTGCGGCGCAACACCCGACTTGGCAACCCTAACTAGAGCTGACAACCCCCAGGTGGGGGCGGGAGGTCCCCTGAAATTACAACGGCTCTCCAAACTACATAAATAACTAATTTATTTATTTAAAACACGCACTCCACTTCTCCTGGAGAAAACGGCTTCTTTGAAAGTTGGGCTGCATGGCATTATACCCTTCCAAGTTCCCTCCCCTTCCTAAACCAGGCTCTCCCAAGCTTCAGCCTCAAACATCCAGGTATTTCTGAACCCAGTCGGCAAACCTACTTTCTGCCATGGTCAACACAAGCTGTGGCTGACCTTGTCTCCCCCACCAATCTGGAAGGCTGAGAAAATAATGGTTCCCATCATACCCCCAATCAAAGTTCCCTCTAAGCTGTGGAGTCCTGTGAGCAAAAATTCTACTTTGTGAGCTACTGGCATTAAAGTTGTGAGCAGGTGATTTGGCTACTGCATAAATTAGTCTGCTCTGGAGCCCTCCTTCCTGAGCTAAGACAAAAATGTGTGAGCCAGAGGATAAAAAACTGTGAGCTAGCTCACACTAACTCAGCTTAGAGGGAACACTGCCCCCAATCCAGTTCTACATACGCCAACAGCTCTTACCCACCAACCCATCCTGTGACAATGGACACTGCCAAGGGCGTAGATCCAAACTTGAAACACTGCTCATTTGAAGTTGCAAACAAATCCTCTATCTGAGTCTTTGAGTCAGCTTGGCTCAAGAAAGAATAGGCACCGAGTTTGATTTTTAAAAACATATTATTAGCGAGGATCATGACATATTATTTCTTTTACAATGATAGTTATAATGATGATATGGCATTGATGGGCTTGCTTATTTCCTTTTATGTGAAATATTGAGGGGGATAACACAAATGTGATTGCTCTCAACACAGGATATTCAGAGGTTGGCACAGGAGTTCCCCAGCTTCACCTACATTTCCCATGGATTTATGATTTATGTATTCATTAAATTCAACTTGCTAGGCTGCCCTTCCCTGCAAGCAGGGCTCAGGGCGCCTTACATCAAACACAGCGATACTCCATTAAACAACAATTAAAAACTATTAAAACAATATACTTCAGACAACACAACTTCATTGTTTAAGATGACAAAAAAATTCTGTTCCCATCAGCTCCCTGAGTGAAGGGATACAGACAATCCTAATGCATTTAAACACACATGTAAATTAGACTGCTTAATTGTAATGAAACAATCTGTTAACATAGAATCATAGCGTTGGAAGGGACCTCCAGGGTCATCCATGAAGGAAATTCACAAATATTTTCCCCTCTGCACCTGTAGTGACTGCTGTTCCACGCCCAGATGATAACAAAAAACCTCCAGGATTGCTTCCTGACAAGTGGCAATCAGCATTTCCCTGGGCGTGTAAGAAAGGCCCACAAGAACGAAGCACTGAGGCAACCCTTCCTGCCCTCCCTCTCATGATCTGCCTAAATTCACAGAATCCGCATTGCTGTCAGATGGACATCCAGCCTCTGCTTGAAAACCTCCGAAGAAGAAGAGCCTACCACTTCCTGAGGAAGCCTGTTCCACTGAGGAACCACTCTAACGGTCAGAAAGGTCTTCCTAATGTTTAGCCGAAAACTCTTCTGATTTAATTTGAACCTGTTGGTTCTGGTCCAGCCTGGAGAGGAGATGACTGAGAGGTGATCTGATAACCATCTTCAAGTACTTGAAGAGCTGTCACATCTACAGGATGGTACAGAGTTGTTTTCTGTTGCCCCAGAAGGTCGGGCTGGAGCCAACAGGTTGAAATTAAATCAGAAGAGTTTTCAGCTAAACATTAGGAAGACCTTCCTGACAGAGCAGTTCCTCAGTGGAACAGGCTTCCTTGGGAGGTGGTGGGCTCTCCTTCTTTGGAGGTTTTCAAACAGAGGCTAGATGGCCATCTGACAGCAATGCTGATGCTGTGAACTTAGGCAGATTATGAGAGGGGGGGCAGGAAGGGTTGCCTCAGTGCTTAGTTCTTGTGGCCCTTTCTTATGCACCCGGGGAAATGCTGATTGCCACTTTGGTGTCAGGAAGCAATTTTTCTCCAGGCCAGTTTGGCCAGGAATCCTGGAGGTTTTTTGTCATCTTCTGGGCATAGAACAGCAGTCACTGCGGGTGTAGAGGGGGAGGTATTCAGGGGTCATTTCCTGCAGGAGCGCACAGGAGCGGAGCTCCGGCAGTAAAGAGCCCAGGGGGCGGGCACATGCAACAAGCCCCACCCCCTGCTCCCAGCAGCCTCAGACAGACCAAGAAGCAGCCAGGTAAGCTGCATAGCCCCCCCGGCCCCCCCAGTCCAAAACAGTCCAGTGGCACCTTTAAGACCAAGTTTTATTCAGGTACAAGGTCTCCCTCCTCTGCGAGGACAGATCTGCACATTCCCCCCCCCCCATAGCTAGCAATCCAAAACAGTCCAGTGGAGCCTGAGCGGTGGGTGTTGCCTTCTGACACACTTCTGGTGATGTCAGGGGGTGTGGTACAGGCAAATAAGTTGCGAGGACAGATATGCATGTCCCCCCCCCCAATAGCTAGCAATCCAAAACAGTCCAGTGAAGCCTGAGCGGTGGGTGTTGCCTTCTGACACACTTCCGGTGATGTCAGGGGGTGTGGTATATGCAAATAAGTTATGCTAATGAGTTATGCTAATGAGCTTCTGCACCTATTTTTCTACAAAATGACCCCTGGAGGTATTTGTGTATTTCCTGCATTGTACAGTGGGTTGGACTTGATGATTCTGGAGATACCTTCTATGGATGATTTTGTCTGTCCAGGGAAGAGTCTGGGTCCTGCATGGTCAAGGGATGGGTAGATCTAGGAGCTCAGGGCAGTTGCGAATGATTGCCACAGTGCAATGATAGTACAACATCCAATTGGGGGAGATGGATGTAGTCATATGACCATTAGAGGAAGCTTCAGGCTAATAATGACGAGCTTTTAAAACAAAGACAAAAACCAATAGGTGCACAAGGACCTGTCTTGTTACAATACTTCGTAAATTGCCACATACCCTGACACCGGGTAATAATCACAGCAATGTCACCAAATATCGTCACATTTAACTGCTTAGACCTGTTCAAAATTCCCAGACATAATGAGAGACGGCCTACGGGCTCCGTACATTTCAGAGCTTCTCCACACCATCTGCCCATGGGTGTTTTACAAATCCAGCCTTTCCTTCCGTTCTCCTATTGCCTGAATTAAATAAAACGTTTAAATAAGGAAGAAGAAAATCCATGTTCTTCTAGGACCGTGATTGCTCACAAAATGCAAATGAGATCAACATATGGATTCTCTTCTAACTGACAGAGCCAGAAGCCTGATGTAGAATTTGCTGCACCGGTCCCAGAAGGTGGGTGTGGAGTTGCAGAAAAAAATGTCAAGCGAAGACTTCTGACACCTGTCTCCCGATGAAAGATCCCCTTAGAAAGTTCAAACGGCATGCAATGTAAAGCATGAGCATCAGTTTGGAACACTGTTTGGTTGCTGATTTTTTTTAAAAAACCCCCACAGTTTATTGTTTTTTTAAAAAAAGCACACTTGAAAAGTAATATACTTACATTCAGGTTGTGTTGCCACTTTGACAGGCTGTGAGCTTTCTCCTGGCCCCCATTCATTGTAAGCTACCACTCGGAATGTGTAAGTCTCTTCTGGTTTTAGGTTCCCCACCGTAAGCTGAAGCATCCCAGGCTGTGATGTGTTCAGAGCTCGCTCCCTGGGGAGGGGGAAAAAAGAACCAGAAAGTCAGGATTAGGGTTATTTTTACCATCAAGTTCCAGCTGATTTAAGGTGATCCTGAAGGGTTTTCAAGGCAAGAGAGGCTCAGAAGGGGTGTGCCATTGCCTGCCTCTGCATGGCAACCTTGGTATCCCTTGGTGGTCACCCATCCAAATACTGACCAGGGCAAACTCTGCTTAGCTTCTGAGATCTGATGAGATCATATGAACATAAGGGAAGCCAATGTTGGATCAGGCCAAAGGCCCATCCAGTCCAACACTGTGTCACACAGTGGCCAAAAATACCAGGTGCTATCAGGAGGTCCAGCAGTGGGGCCAGGACACTAGGAGCCCTCCCACTGTTGCCCCCCCTCCCACAAGCACCAAGAAGACAGAGCATCACTTGCCCCAAACTGAAAGTTCATATCTATACCTTGTGGCTAATAGCCACTGATGGACTCCATGTGTTTATCTAATTCCCTCTTGAAGCCGTCCATGCTTGTAGCCGCCGCCACCTCCTGTGGCAGTGAATTCCAAGTGTTAATCACTCTTTGGGTGAAGAAATACTTCCTTTTATCTGTTCTAACCCAACTGCTCAGCAATTTCATGGAGTGCCCACGAGTCCTTGTCTTGTGAGAAAGGGAGAGAAGGACTTCTTTCTCAACCTGCTCTATCCCATGCATAATCTTGTAAACTTCGATCATGTCACTCCTCAGCCGTCATTTCTCAGGCTAGCCTGGGCTGTCCAGTTCAGGTTAAGAGATGAATAAAGATGGTTTACCATTGCCTGCTTCTGTGTAACACCACCTGTCTTCCTTGGTGGTCTCCTAGCCAAGTACTGCTTATTTCTGACAAGTTAAGCTACACGGGGCTATTAGGGGGGGAAATATTTCCAGACAATACTCTGGCGTGAGACAACTATTAAATTCAGAACCATTAATTTTTGACACCAAAGACATTACAGTCGTTTCCTAGGAGTTTGGGGTGATCAATGGGAAGGGGGGTGGGGTGGGGTGGGGCCCATCTACCAGTTTGGTGTAGCGGTTAGGAGCATGGACTCTAATCTGGGAGAACCGTGTTTGATTCCCCACTCCTCCACATGAAGCTGCTGGTGTGACCTTGGGTCAGTCATAAGTTCTTTCAGAGCTGTTCTCTCAGGAGCAGTTCTTGAGAGAGCTCTCTCAGCCCTCGTCCGCCTCAAAGGGTGTCTGTTGTGGGGAGGGAAGGGGAAAGGGATTGTAATGAAGGTGCTCTGAGACACCTTCATGTAGTGAAGGGTGGGTATAAATCCAATCTCCTCCTCCTCCTCCTCCTCCTCACCTGTCTCTGATACCAGGAAGAACGTACTTGCTGCGCTACACCCCCACCTAATGATGGATGGAAGATGTACTGCTTTTTAGCCCCATCAGATCAGGTCTGACTCCTCTGTAATGATGGCCACAAGCACAGGTATCTTTACAAGGGCATTAAACAGATTGATGGAGGTGAGGTGTATCAGTGGCTACTAGTCATGGTGACTAAAGGACACCTCCACATTTAGAGGCAGTGATTTGTGTAATACCAGAGTGAGGAGTCAATATCAGGGGAAGGCCTGGGTCTCTATGCCCTGTTTGTGGGCCATCCAGGGGAACTGGTTGGCCACTGTGTGAGAAAGGATGCTGGAGTAGATGGACCACTGGTCTGAACCAGCAGGGCTCTTCTTTTTCTTTTTTTTGCCCCCCGTAGGTGATTTTTTAATTGCATTTTCTATAAACTACAAAGAAACAACAAGGGAGGGGAATCTACAAACTACAGGAGAAAGTAAAGAAAACCACTAAAAACCCAAGAGATGGAGATCATACATTGCTTAAGATTCAACAGCGTTTTTTGTTTTTTAACCATTATGTTTTTCTTTCTTTTATTTTTCTTTTTGGCATTGAAAGTGATCAATAACCATTTATCACTTATATTATCAATTCCAACAAATCTGACTATATGAAGAGCTATACAAGATCATTAAAAAAAAACCCACTCAGGCTGGCTTCATAAACCATTAGCATCTCATTAAAAAAAAAAAAAATTGTTCCCCAAGTAACAATCAATTTTTTTTTGGGGGGGGGACAGCCCCCATCTTAGAGTCCAGTCCTCATCAGTAAGTGTACTTGTTGTCTCATCTTCTCTTCCTCTTTTACAGTCTTCTTCGTCATTATCTTCTTCCCTTGTTGATCCAAGCTGTTGCAGCAGACATTGGCCAGTCTTTAGGATATAGTTAATTCTTCCCTTTTATCGCTTTAATCCATATGTCTTCTGGAGAATCTAACCACTGTTTCACTGGGCAGATTATCATTTTTCAGCAGGGCTCTTCTGATGGTCTTATGTATGAGAACCAGTCAGCCAGAGTAATGGGTCTAAGAACTTCCGGACATTTTTCTTGTCTGACGTGCTTCTGATTCCAGTCCAAAGTTTTGTCCTTACCTTCATGGCTATTGAGCTCAGCTGTTTGACTATTAAGCTCAATTGCCTTCTGGCTGTCTACCTAAGCCAGCGATTCTGCTAGCCACCAGCCCTAGTAGGCAGCCAAGCACACCAGAAGCTGAAGTGTGTGTCTGGGTAGGATGCAAATGAAATTGGCTAGAATGCCGGGGCAGAGATTGAATCGGGGGCCAGAATCAATGGACTTAAACCAGTGGACTTTAACATTGGAACCCATCCATCATCCAAAGAGAGACTAGAGATGGAACCAAGATGAAGGCAAGCTAGTGAAGGAGGGTATCAGAAAATCAGGTTGGGATCAGATAGGAGATGGGGGACATAAGCCTGAAGAAATGAGAGAGAAACCAAGAGAAATCAATGGATGCCTGTGGCTTAGCTAAAGGGGAAAAAAAAGGCTTGACTTGGAGGAATGTATAGTTACATAGGAAAGAATCATTGGGGTAAGAATATAAGAAGAGCGCTGCTGGGTCAGACCAGTGGTCCATCTAGTCCAGCATCCTGACTCACACAGAGGCCAACCAGTTCCTCTGGAGGGCCAACAACAGGGTAGAGAGGTCAAAGCCTTCCCCTGCTGCAGCCTCCTGGTATTGGGATTCAAAGGTTTATTGCTTCCGAATGTGGAGGTTCTCCTCAGTCACCATGGCTAGAAGCAACTGATAGATCTCTCCTTTCATGAATCCATCTAACCCCTTGTAAAGCGACCTATGCCTTTGGCCATCACTGCATCCTCTGGCAGCAAATTCCACATTTCAGTCACTCTCTGTGTAAAGAAGTATTTCATTTTGTACACAGAGCCTCACTGAACATATAAAGACGTGAAGGTGCCTTATACTGAATCAGGCTTTCAATCAGTTTGGTGTAGTGATTAGGAGCACGGACTCTAATCTGGGAGGACAGGGTTTGATTCCCCACTCCTCCACATGCAGCTGCTGGGTGACCTTGGGCAAGCTGCAGTTCTCTCAGAGCTCTCTCAGCTCCACCTACCTCACAGGGTGTCTGTTGTGGGTAGTGGAAGAGGACTGTAAGCCGGCCTGAGATTCTGAGTGAAGGATTGGGTATAAATCTAATATCTTCTTCTTCTGCTCAATCTAGGTCTTCCCCCCCCCTTTTTCCCCGGTCCACTTGGACTGGAACTTCTTCGGGATCCCAAGCATAGATCCTTCTAAGCCCCGTTACCTGGGAAAGACCATATGCTCACCCATTGCCCAATGCACATTTTCTTTTGAGCTGAACACCCCATAAGAATGCACTAATGATTTTTCACCATCCCAAATTAGCAGCACTTCTGCTGGTCCAGTTGGTGCTATTCAGCGTTGCAACTGGCTCGACAGCTCCCGTTGGCACACGGTCACCATTTACTGGCTTGCTGGGATTCTGCGACGAGATGTGTGCCTCCGGGTCATCTGTGCCCCTGGGTCATCGCAGGCAGGCCATCCGTCATTCCAAACCAGCTCCATTTGGAATGGGTCTGCTGTTCTTTGCACCTGCATAGCCAGAAGGGTCCATCCTGCTGGCGCTGCTTGCTCACAACTTACCGAAGCGGAGTTCCCAGGCAGCAGAGTGAAAACACACAAAACAGGCACTATCCAATTTGGAATAAGGACGTTCAGTGGCAGCCAACACACTCAGCCTTAGGACTCAGGCAGTCAAAGTGGCCAAGGCTAAATACGAAGGTTGCCAGGTCCTCCCCAGCCACTGGTGGGGGAAGGGAGTAAGGGTTGCCAGATACAGGGTGGGAAACTCCTGGAGATTTGGAGGTGGAGCCTGGGGAGGACAAGGACCTTGGGGGGGGG